CAAGACCGTAGTTATATGTTCCGATAGATGAAAGAACTGGTCGAAGAGGAACATCTGTTTTGTGTGTTTTGGGCAACCCATAGAGTCGCCCAAGATTTGATCCAGTTGGTCGAGCCATGTCGTAAAATTCTTCGGTAATATGACCGTCTTTTTTCAATCTACGCAACAAAGTTGTCAAACGACGTTCTCTTTGGATCGTAGGATCATCAAAACGACTAGAAAACTTGGTTGTATCACTAAGAATTGCATTCATTTTGGAGATATAATCATTTCTATCAAGTAGTACAATTCCTCGCCCTTTATCAGGACGAGTGACGATAATAGACTAGTCTTGTTTCAGTTGTTTTAATAATTGATGGTATTTTTTTTGGTCGGTTCGAATAAGATGTTGCTCTTTTTGATATCGATTAGCTTGTGAACGAAATGAGTCTGTTAAACTACGTAGATTACAAGCTAACGTTAATTCTTTGCTGCTCGAAACACGAACATCATTCTGTATGATTACGTCTTTCTCTTTCAAGTCTGCCATGAGCTTCTTCTGTTTTTGAAATATGCCTGTAACGTTATGGAAAAATTGTTCGATATTTCCAACAGCGTTCATATTATCAAAATTTCTTGGAAGTAAGCCATAATCAAGACCATGAGCAAGGCAATCGATTTCATCATCAGATAATATTCGTGTCGAGAGATTTTTGACAACTCCATGATCGACGTTGCATTTTGGTTCATTGACATAACCAAGCTTATATAATTTGTTTTCGATCGTTTATTTTTTCTTATCCAAGATAGGTTTATAGATGTGGTAATTATTTCCTGTAAACTTTGAAATATGTTTTCGGGACAACATTCTCGAAGTAGATTAAGTGATGTTTGATACGATGTTTTGACATTATTTAGATGTTGGTACTTATAGTCGATTTCAGCATTTAAAAGACGGCGCTGACTTTCTCTATATTCTTGTGATGATCGAAGGTTTTCATTTGCAGTCTTGAACCACAAAAAACCCGGTATAATATCTTTAGAACGACAAGTCTTGAGATAATGAATATCTAATCGAACAGTTTCGATACGAATGTAGTATTTTTTTACGGAACGATAAGTAACTAATGCACGACGACCATGATTACAAATGAGGTACGATTCGACATTTTGGGCATCCATAATTATGTAAATAGTAAGACGATAAATGGTATAAGTAAAATGCTTTTTTTAGTATGACTATTCCCTCTATAGAATACTCAGAAACAACCACTCACGTTAGGCCGTAGGCAGAAAGATGTATTAACCGGACTATGATCTGTTAGAGCACAATCAGAAACAACCACCCACGTTAGACCGTAGGCAGAAAGATATGCTAACCAGACTAATCTGCTATAGAGACAGAAAAATTCACACTTAAACGAGCTTACCACCTTTGTGTATGGTAAAATAATCGGAATAATAAATAGTGTAATAGGAAAGGTAATAATAATAAGATGATTTAATGGCAATGATAATAATGATAAGGATAAGACTAATAATAAAAAATATATAGGATGATTAAAAAGTTCCCGAAACATCCAGATTTTTATCGAGTAAATGAAGTTTTCAAAACTCATGCTTCATCAAATGCTCAAAGCACTCATCCCTATTTATTATACAGAGTTCCGAAATGTCAGCCTAATTGTTAAACGTCCCTTAACACTCATCATGTGATATGGCACGAATCCCCTTGATTATAGCTTATTGCAAGGTTTTCAATCAGGGTAACCACCTAACTGACGTTTAGATAACCAGATAACCAAAAATCAGATACTAACAAGTGAGGCAAATAAGTTTCTGAAGAAATGTTTTAATCTCTTTTGTGAAAGATTTGAATTTGTTTCTGCTTACATTGTACGGTCACCTGATACAGTATCTATGTTGCGCATAACTTTTTCAGTTTTAGTTCATAATGAATGGTTCTACTGACAGAGACATCCGGCAGATCGGTCTCAAATATCATATTTCAAATGCTAATATGTGGATTTTCCTTAATAATACACGAATGACTTCGATGTTTTCGTCGATAACCTTGGTTACTGGTCCATCAATTCTGGGATTGTCTTCGGTGGAGCTTCTATCTTGTCTAAAATGTTATATTCGTTCAGTTGCCATGCTGTACAACACATAAAGTTTCCCTCTATGCATTACACAATTTTGCATGAATTTGCTTTGTTTTACAGCAGAGTTTGAATCATGCTAAGATGTAGTACCGAATATCTGTTTTATCTATCTCAAAAGATAACATTTAGAAAGAATAAGCTCTAAATCAACCAACAGCGAACAATAAATGGTTAGTTTCGTCAATCAATTGACAAGAGCTGATACTATTTAAATGTAATAGAGAAACTCCTTCAGTGCCTCAAACAGTAAGAATCGAAAATAATTCCAGAAACTTTTTAATCACCTGTAATAACAACAAAAAAAACAATAATAACAAAAATCACAATAGTGACAATAATAACGATAATAACAATAATAATAACAATCACAACAATAACAATAATATTATTATTAATTATAAATGAAATCTAAATTAAAATACTGAGAACATAATCATGAAACTCAAAGAAAATCTAAATATTACCAAATGACAGAAGTAAGATTTATCAGTGATAGTAATAGCACTGGCAGTTAACAGCACTTAGTAATCGAAAATCGAAAAAGGAGAATACATATACAGTTGGTGAAAAATTATTTGAGATAATAAGAAATTTTCATTTTTCTGAAAAATCTAAAACAAATTGAAACATGTGTACAATTTCGGGAAATAAGTTAAGTACCGGTTTCACAGCTTTATCAATAGCTTTCAACTTCATTTTATTCTTGTATTTACTTTTTTTATTTTGCTATAGGATTTTAAATAAATAAGGATGTCTATGTTGAAATAGCGTAACTGTCTTTGTTAAGACAGCTGTTCAATGATTCATAATCATATGTTAACATATGTAGACATGTTTACATATGTGTACATAAGTTTACTTATGTTTGTTTCTCCAATCAGAAGCCTTACAATTCCTCTATCATGAATCACCCATTTTTGTGATCACTCTTAACACAAACTCAATTCATGGTAGAGGCAACTCTAAGGTTTCTGGTTGGAGAAATATACACTTGTTAACTTTTTTTCGTTCTTTAGTTTATGTCTATTTCTGTTAGCTTGTGAATCATTAAATACCCATCTTCACATTGATAAAACACTTAGTTTTTTCTAAATTAAATATATAAAATTTTTTAAATATTTTTTAGAGTACTTTATTTTTATCCAATGAATTAGAAAAAGACAGCTTTAACAAAAACAAATAACAAATGACACAGCAATACATATATGAACTTAGAAGAAAGCAGCCAAAGAAAAAAAAAATAATATGGACAATAACGAAAAGAAAAATATAACGAATAACATTTATGATGCTTGATCATTTATAAAACTTTTATAATGATTTTCATCAAAAATATCAATACTTAATTTACTATCAGCAAAATCTTGATCCTGTTGGTTATTAAATTGTAATCGAAGAATGTTGTTGTAGAAGTGTGGAATATATGCATACCGTACGTGAAGTGAATCAAGATATTGTTTTATTTGTGGTATAGTCCATTGATGATGTAATTTTCTTTTTATTACATGTTGTTGTCCTTTAAGTTTTCTTTTTTCATGACGTTGTTGATTACGACATTGTATTGCTTCTCGACTTCTAAACGAAGATTGAGAAGGTTTTGTTTCATCCGATGTTGAATTTGATGTTGTTGATGGTGTTGGAATTAATTGATTAAAATGGCTGATAATGGAATTGACAATCAGATCATTAAAACGAAATTGTATATGCATATTATCGTTTTTCAGATGGTGCCGAGTGATGTGAAGATCGATGGTGGTGAAATTCATTTGGAACGATAACAATTTTAATTTTTCATTGTATAAGTTGATGTTGGACATGAAGGACGATCGAGTTGGAAATCTATGTGTTGTATTGAAACAAGGAAAAGTTAAAGCAATTATGATTTTTCCAGGTTGATAAAGATGGGGAAACGTTTGTTGGAGAAAAAGAATCACTTGTTGGACTTGAAGGATAATTTTTGTTGCAGGCATTATTCTAACAGAATTAGTTTCAACCAAGAATAAGACTGCATTTGCTTGGGATAAAGACGATTGGATTTCTGGTGACGATAATAATGCATATACAGATAGTTCTTGATGATGATTATCAATCCATTTCAGCCCTGGTACAAATTTTGAGACCAAATTATATGATGATGTTGTAAATGTTCGAGAAAAATATCTGCCATAGCTATCAGCCAATACGAAAAAGTTGACCAATGATGAATTTTGATTGTTCATGACTAATGCGTATTTTTATATATGATAATTTTTAAATAAAAAATGTGTTCTGAAAATGCAAGAATCATATGTGATCCATTTTGAAATGCAGCGTATATATGACAGAATGGAAAAAAAATCCCTCGAGGATTTAAACAGCGCACTTACTGCTTCCTAGCAAATGTCCTAAGCCAATTAGACCAAAGGGATGTATTTAATCTCTACTTGGCGTCGAAGTGAATCATTACTGACATTAATACCAACCAAACTTGTATACTCTAAATCAACATATGTCAACAATGTACTCTTGTAGGTGGAACTCTATTTCCATTATATCGTTCGTCACTCATAATAGTCATTTGACAAAATAAATAGTGATTGCTCCGGTATTAGTAGGAACTTTCATATTACTATTACTAATAATAATTATGATAAATAATAATGAAAAATTTTATGAATTCATCTTCTTTTTACAGTCACTTCCTATTTCAATTCAGATGTGATGATTCGTATAAAGTACTCCAGTTGTGAACCATTCCGACGAAAATCGAAAAACGTTTTTCTAGTTACATTAATACTACTCCTTCCAAAAATTTTTTGAACATACAGATTACGGCATGCAAATGAATCTGAGAATTTTTACAAGAAGAAGAATTGATACGGCGATGTGAGTAGAGACGATATATATCATAAAAAGGTCATGATCGCCCATCAAAATCGCATTTTCGATCCCAGATATTCCCAAAAGTAATACACACTATCTCAGTTACTCAATGCAATAAGTTACAAAGAATACTAGTATATGATATATATTTTAAGATCTACAAAAAACGAATATAACACAGCATTCATCCAAAAACCTGCTACAACATCGCACATTAAAACCAACTCTTTCATAGACTGCACTTCTAGTGAGCATAGCCAACGAAGATATTCAACACCTCGATTCACATTACAAAAACAACAAAAACTCACACTTACCGATTTTCGAAAAAAAATTAGATGATATAATAACTGAAAGACAAGAATCTGAATATGTGAAAAAAACATAACAGCCGGTAACGCCAGAGAGAGAAAATGTACACGAGAAAACAAATAATAAAGAGAGAAAATACACACAACACAAACACGATACAGGACTAACATCATAAAAAGATTCCAAAACCCATCCCAGGGATTACAATCAAAATAAAAAATTCGAAAACATTATAAAATTACTCATAAACACATGCGCATACAGGACTAATCAACGACAATGTTAAATCAGACAACTAAACCAAAAAATTGTCAAAACCATAAGCATCGCTTGCCCAACATCATTATAAAATGAGAAAATCCCACAAGTTTCATAACCCTATTCAACAAAATTGACTCCAACAAAAAATCATAAATTAGAACTAAAAACTTCAGACTAATTACATCGTGGCCAACGACTAAAATAATATTCCGGTAGTCTATTCTGTATACTAACACACGAAAAAACTATCAAAAAATACAGTATTCAAATAAATGTCGACCACTTCGCGAAATCCACTATATCACATACATCCGACTCAGCTCGAGCGATACCAGCTAATTATAATACATATAGACGGACACAAAACCTACCGTAATCATCAATTAAATAACAGCCATCCACCTCTAATCCACCGATACCTATCTACATAGAGAAAAAACTGTCCTATCTTTATCCCATTCTCTACAAAATCATTTAATCCAATTACACTGCCTCAACTATGTGACAAAAACACAAACATATATTTCACCAAACCTTCGCAACTTTAATAAATACAGCTATTACACACATCCCAATTTACAAGCTGGTTCCAACAGACACTGGTCGAAAATTCTACTTGTCATATAATTGAAAAGAATAGATAAATTAATTATTACTGCATTTTTTTTTCTTGATTTAATATGATTTTCGTTTATTATTCAAGTTTATTTATTGATATTAAAATATAAAGAAGTATGAAGAAGTACGAAAAAGTACAAAGAAGTACGAAGAAGTACGAGGAAGTACAGAAGTCTGCTTTTTCGCCCTTGCCCCAAATAGGTCGAATTTCTGCAAGTCTATTAAGATCCATATGAATAGCCATATCCACCACCATACCCACTATCATATCCTCCACCAGATCCACCAGATAAACCAAGCCCAGCACCACAATCACCACTATATCCTC